TTCTGGAATCGAATCGCCACGGTTGAATTTCGACGAATCAGAGTTTTTTGTGATTAATGGTGCTGGGGGGGGGTCAGAGTTAGATCGTCACGCCCCCTACTTTACGTACACGTGTATCCAGATATTTAAAAAATGCGAATGCTGCTGTAAGTCCACTGCATGCAAGTCACCTGTACATAAAGCAGTCCCCCTCCTTAACCGGCTTCCATTCCTCTCTTAAAGCCTCACATATTCTCTATTGCCCATTCTCTACCCTCCCCTCGCCCCTCCACTCCTTCCCGTCCCTCCCCTACCCTTTCGTGATCCCCCTAAGCACCCCTCTATCGCTGTCACTCATTCCTCAGTCCTCGCACTCCTCTGCCATCTAAATTATTTTCTTCCACTGTTTTTCAAACTATGCCAAGCGCCTTGAGTGAAGGTGCTCTATACATATATAATATTACATTAGATTGTTGGATTGCTTGCAGGCAGTGAGGTAAAGTGTTGGTGCGCGTCTTACTTCCTTCCTCTATTTCTGGCCGGCGTGGAAAAGTCGACGCTGAGTGGCACCCACAGAGGGAAGTCTTGGTGTGGAGCGGGGTGGAATAAATACGAGCTCTATGTGCCCCAGCTGACCTTTCCTTTTTTTTCCACTTGGTTATGTGGGTGCCACAGTGGCTAGGAGATATTAACTACCTCGCTTGGTTTACAGGAGGTCGAGGTTTTGATCCCGACCCTGACACCTGCTGTACATTTGGAATTTTCATGTCTCTCTCTCTCTCCCCCTGGCCGCGTGGATTTTTCTCCTGGTCTTCCGGTTATTCCCTCCATATTTAGAAAAATGGTTTTAGAGTATTTGCCTGCCATAAATGCCCATGTGATGATGAGCAACTGCGTTTAGCTATCATTTGTGGGCAGGTAGCTTCTGAAAAAGAGCTGTATAGCTTCGTGGGCCTGACCTGGTAAGTAAAAAAAATGTGAATAGTTCAAATAGTTTTGTAGTTGACGTATATATGATTAATTTTCACGAAGAGATTGAGTGCCCCAAAAAGCTTAGCGCCTCCTGAGCTTCCTCTCTTCCGCCACTGCATGCACTGTGCCGCATTCTGTGCGAGGAAGGGTGTAGGATTACATGCATTCGACCAGACTGATATTAATCGATGTTTTCAATTCACCGCATCCTCCTGCTCAGCCATTTGTGGTTGCTAATTCATCTTAATTCTAGAAATGCTCTCCCATTAGATTATCACGTAAAGAGTGCACGCACTGTATGCCTCTCGACGTGCGTGCAAAAGAGATTGCGATTTGAGATTAATTAGCGTTGCTAATATCGCTCCCTCTTTAAGCGAAACCTTTGCGAGCGAAATTACAAAAGCTCGCTTGCAATCCACGCCTACCAAATTTATTAACTTTATTGCGACTGTTAGCGACTGCCACGGCCGCCACGATGCTCTTGGGGGTGTTGCCCCCGGCGATTGTGGTGACCCTGGGCTGAATTACCAAGCCGGTCGCTGCCACCGCCACCCGCCACGAGCAGGGCTTCCCGCCCGGGTGGAGGTGTGGCAGTGACGACAGCAGCGAGGGAAAATGTAGATGTGCAAGATTGCGTATCGGGGAGCGCACGCGGAGATGGCGGTGGCTAATCGGGGACGGCACAAGCACGCACTGCCTTCCTTCCCTCCCCCATCCTGCCATTAAGTTCCATGTGCCTCTATTTCCTGGGTGGCCCGCAGTCACGATGCCCAGTATGCGGGCATGAGGGACGTAACGACTCGTCGATTCATGCTTTGAATTGGGGTAATAAGATCCTGGGTTTGATTCCTGACTTGGGCACCTCTGTGTATGTTCTCCCCTTGTTCTGCATGGATTTCCTCTGGGTTCTCATGGTCTTTTCCCATATCCAAAGAAACAACCAAAGATAGAATGTAACTAGCATTTGCCAAATATCCCAATGCTGAAAAATTACTTGAAAATTACTCAATTGGGATCACACAGCAGCATGCAAACATTTGGCAGGCTCCTGCTGGAAAAGTTTTAGGTATCAGGTTTTCCTGGGTAAACGAGCACAATAATAATAAAATGAACCCTTGCGATTCGTGCGTTGAATAGTGCATGTAAGAATTAAATATTTTCATGATATAGGGTCGCGATACCATTCAAGAATCAATATTTTATCAGCTGTAGCCGAATTGCAGTTCCTCTCGTGGCCATTGGGGCAACGGGAACCCATGAAATCCAACAATACGGTTTGAAAAATAGCAATATTTTCATATATTTGCTGTCCAGCGCTCGTGCCACGCGTTTCAGAATCGGAATTTACAGACGCGTTCTTTTTACTACTACCACTTCTTTTATAGCTTCATTTGCAGATTTCCGTAAATTCTTATGTCTCTTCCAAAATATGTGGCCAGTCTTTTGGAGTCGGCCTAAATTCCCTGTGGAGGGGCTCTCTCCAACTCTCTCTCGCGGAGGGCCCCGGCCTCCAGTTAATGGCGCGAGCAGGAAATTAGCAAAAAAATTTAGACTCCGCAGATGATACCGCGCACGAAGAGAAATCCGTCACTTGACTGGCCCGTGCCTCGTCAAAAAATGATAAGTAACGTTGATCCTTCGCCGTGTATCGATAAGTACAATTTGGAATGTGCAATTTTATTGAGGGACTACCGTGTGTTGTCTTGCTATGGTCTGGGACTGTTGTTGTTTTGCTGCCTTGCCCAAGCTTGCATTTATTTTGATTTAAGGCTTTCGTGACTGCAGTGATTCATATTCTTGGTTCTTTCGGTAAAGTCACGTTGAAGGGAAAGAATAAAATAATAATATATATAAAACAATAAAATTCTCACGACGTTTCGACTGCAACACAAGCAGTCATCATCAGGTGTGAAAACCAACGGCAAGAACATTTGAAAGAAGTGGCGGGTTTTATTTATTTATTTTTAAACATTAGCACCACGGAGAGCGATTTGACAGTTTATTTAGAAGGACGAGTCCATCTATGTTCGGAAAAGAGGAGGGGGAGACGAAAAATTAATGTATGCTGTCTGAAAGCCACCGTAAGCGTGAACAATCAATTAAGACTCGAAATGGTTTATCAAATCCTTCCAATGATTGCTAAGCCAGAATCCATCTTCTCGGTTGAAATTGTCTCTGTGCTTGTATATGTGGATAGCCTCATGAACGAATCTCTCATGGTAGCCAGATGGCTTGCAAAGAACCTCTGTCTTGGAGAAGTCAATTTCATGTGAGCCTACTGAATTATAACAGTGATCTGCCACGGCCGAGGTGTTGGTCCTACCGTGTTTAAGGTCTGCTTTGTGTTCACGAATGCGGTCCGAGACATTTATTGTTGAAAAATTGGCAGCAATTTATATACATTTGAAATTTTTACTTGTATACTCGATTATGTTTTTTAAATGTATTTATTATTAGTGACTTGTTTACCTTTCCTATATTTTGCACCCATATAATTTTCTGACCCGCCCCTACTTGGCATCTGTGAAAAAGAGCTTCATAGCTCATCGTATTTCTCCAGTATAACAAAAAAAATTATGATTCTCGTCGTCATCGACGCCGATCGCGGCGATCGCTGTGATGATGACGATGACGACGATTATGATGATGGCGGTGGTGGTTCTTACTGAGCGCGACGGTGCTGGCAGCAATCAGCGGTGCCAGGAAATCTCACCGAAACGCAGGCACCCCTCGGCACAATCATCCCCGGGGGATTCAGCGTCTCGGCCACTGGGAACGGCCGCTATGCTCGCCGGGAAACTTAAACAGTTGCCGCAGACGCCTCATCCCCAGAGGGATGGCTCGTGGGGTCAGGGGGGCCGCCCGGCACAGCTGTGTGCCGGGTTCACGGTTCCCCAAATTGGCGGTGGCCACCACGCATTTCACCGCAATAGCAGAAGCGTTGCGTTTTTATGTGCGTTATGGAAAATTATTATTACTAGCTTGTGTGCCCGTCCAAGGACGGCTGTATATTGCAGTAAATGCGAAATATTCAATAGAAAAATTGTTCAGCTCGTGATTATTAATGAGGGGGGTTGCCCCATGTGGAGTGACGTCACCCCCTCATGGTTATTGTGGAGGGGTGCGGCATGTGGAGTGACGTCACCCGCTCATGATTATTCATAAGGTGAGGGGTGCAGTATGCGGAGTGCGCGACCTTCTTGTGCGTTCGTGTAAATTTCCAGACAGGCATGAATATTAATAAAGTGGGGGGGGGGCTCTTTTGCAGTAACGTCACGCACGGATGTAGCACTTTGCTGCTTATATTTATTTTTTACCGTCACTTTCTGTAAAGAAACGTCATTTGAAGCGACTTTGCATAATAAATTATTTTAATCAGCTCGACCTTTCTCTGCGTTCGTGTAAAAATCCACCCACTGATTAATATTAATGAGGAGGGTGGGCCTCATGTGGAGTGACGTCACGCAGGGGGTGGGCCTCGTATGGTGACGTAACACGCGGGACACACACACATTCTTGGATTATTATAGTAGTAATTATTGGTAGGTTAAACATTTTCAAATCGCCCCCATCCACCCCACTCTCCCATGCTCTTGAAAGCTGAATTAAGCAGGCTTTAGCCTGGATAGTCTTTGAATGGGTGACCGCAGCGCACACCAACTTGCCATATGTCGCTGTGGGGTGGGGGGGTTGTAGTAGGGCAGAAAATTCCGTTGTACAGCACTTTGTATGCTTCTATGTTCCCTGCCTCCACTAGCCCGCATATCGTAATTACCCTTAAATTCTAAACTTTCGTAAAAACAACTTTGTATGGAATCCTGCATTTGCACAGCTGTTTGTAAACATCTGTGCGTAATGCATTCTTATGCACGTGTCACGTGTGCCTCTGTGTGTGCGTTGTATGGAGTGTGTGGGGAGGCCCTCATCCAGCAGTGGATCGACAATCGGCCATACGCGTGGATGGATGGATGATTGTGTCGCCAGTGCTGTGATGCGACGGTCCTGTTGTCACTTCTCTGCCCCCCCCCCCCCCCTCATTTTCGCGACAGAGACCCGAGGCCGGACGACCACCGCGTGAACGCGAACGTGAACGGCGACGTGAACGTTCGGATTGAGAACCTCAGTGTCCTCGTTCGTCACATCAAGGCCTACTACCAGGTGAAGGAGCTTTCCCCAGTATTGCCGGGCGACGGCGTACACTGTATTTTAATAAGGCGTGCTATTATTCTAAGCGTTCGCGACCAAATCGCTCGGGACATACCCCGGTCTCATCGGATGTCAAAAGCTAAAAGCTGGGTTGAGTAGGGATTGTGTAGTGACATCGCTGGATGTCAACAGGCTGTGGGTGCAGTACCGGCCCTAGAGGGGCACGGCGTGCAGTGTAGCGACATCGCCGGATACCACAATGGTGTGGGTGTAGTACCGGCTTTAGAGGGGCCCGGTGTGCGCTGAATAATAGCGCTAGATGGCACCACGCTTTAAGTGCAGTGCCGACCCTACAGGACAGGGTGTGTGGGTGCCGATCGAAGGATGAGGTTGTGTGAGGCCATGGCACTCTGGTTGTCCCGGGAGGACACGTGACCTGTTAAGTTGACAAAGGGGTCCCAAGAGGGAGCTGGGAGGGAGGGGGGTCACGTGATTGCGACCCAGATCCTTCCCGAGGATTCTGGAAGGTGGATGTGGCCAAGGGCGGAGCCGGCCATGCTACAGAGAGTATGTTCGGGTCCTGAGAGGGACCGGGGTTGTTGTTCATCCTGGAAGAAACCCTTCGTCTACGTTCTCCGTTCAACGAGTCTCCAACACGTAGATCCGGGCCAAAGTCGTTGGTCCCGGTCCGTAGTAGCAGTTATGTTGTGACTAGTGTAGTTAGCCTGGTGGTCACCACCCGGCTAACTACACCAGTCACGTTGTAACTAGTGTAGTAACTAGTGTAGTAACTAGTGTAGTAACTAGTGTAGTTGGCCTGGTGGTGACCACCATAGGTTGTTATTCTGTTAAGGGGAAAAGTTACCCCGTGTTTTGGAACTGAATAAATGTGTTGCCTTCAAGTCTACGTATGCGACTCAGTGGAAGCCATTACACTTGCATGGGCAACCATCATGCGTGAAAGCAAGGTGTTGCAGGCTGCAGCAGAGGGCAGTGCAGCAAACATCCATTGTTGTGTCGTACTGTCCTCCAACGTCTATGCGCCTTCCTTCACCACCTCCACGCCGAGCGGGTGGTTAAGTGTGGTCAAATTCAGATCTTTTTTTAGCGGTGGATTGACAAAGAGGTTCTTACGTGTACGTTACAGCGACGTATCAACCCTTGTGAAGGCCTTGAGCCTATGTACAGATAATCTTCCACATCACAGAATATCATGGCTCACCCATTCCCATTGAAGGCATGAGCTGTAAATGTTGTTTTTACTGCAGTGTTTATTGGGGAGCGGTATTCCGTAACTGTTTTGGACCCTGTGTCTTTCCTTGGCCTGGACCCATTTCCAGGAGAATTACTGCAGGCGTTACATTTCTGTGCGGTGAAATCTGCATCCAATTAATCCGATTAACCGTGCCGCACACACGTGCGCCGCATCAAACAGGAAAACTCGAGATGGCATCTGAAGGCCTAGCGGAAGAGGAGTTCTCGTGACTCCATCGTTTGAGAAAATAAGAAGAAAGGAGTGTTTAAATCAATTGCCAGGCTTGGCCAAAAAGAGCCTCGCTGTTTAATTTGTTACTCAGTTTCCTGGGGCAGGCCATTGAAATGCAGAGTGCGAACCAAAGGAGTACAAATAACAAACGCTGAGCAAACCGAAATCTCTGGCGTGAATGGGCGATGGCTTTAATGCTCACTGGAAGCGCGTTCTGTTCATCGTTGGAGCATTTGCCGCACTTGAGGACATCGGCTCGTAACTCTGGAGGTCATTCAAGGTGTCTCTGGTTCATTAACCACGCACGTTCCGTCAAAACTCGGCACGCAAATTGACAACTGCGGCCAATTTGTGTGCATAAATAAGGTTGCGCTCAGAGAAACTGTGGTCGGTGTTCTAAAATTTCCCCGCATTTGTCCCCCGGACAGTATAAATGTATACACTCCAGTCGATCAGCAGGTCACGTGCATCGAGATCAAATATATGTACTCCCACCTCTTCCAAGACCGCCTGGCCAGCATGGAAGAGTAGACCAAATACCCTCTAGAGCGGTTCTGTAGAGCTCTCCCCCTGACTCGAAGCCCTTCCACCCACGCACAGTTGGAGCGAGTAAAATTTCACGGCTGCACGCTTCACCACCTTTTTTTTAAAACCAGAAGCAACTGTCCAATGCCTTTGTCCCCCCATGGGGGAGAGAGGGAGAATCCCCCGGAGAGCCGTGGTTGCTACGGGGGGTTTGCAGCGGGGACGGAAGCCATCGCTTGACAGCGGAACCGTTTTTCAGACTCAATCCAAAAAAAACGCCTCCGCCGTTCGTTGTGTGTGAATTTTGCTCTCTTTGTGTGGGTGCGGTTTTTAACGGGTAGGCTTTCGCGACCAATATCCTTAATATAGATTTTTTTTTGGGTTAGATCGCGTCGGTTATTTGTAAGTAAAAATATATATATTTACGCGATCTACCCCAAAAAACCTTATATTATGCGTTTTTAAGGTTTTTTTTTTTTACTTACAAACAACCAACGCCGTCTTTTTGTTTGAACGGACGGTTCATGGGAACTGTACGACGATGAAATCTAAATTTCACTGTTGACGGTAGTGGAGAAGAACCCGCTCGGAAACGCGTTCCCGGGAGCGTCGACGTTTTATAAATGCGAATTCTGTTTTTGGGGGAAAAAAATCTGCAGTTTGTTTTTACCAAACTGGGTCTTCGTCCGTCGGGTCTACAGTTTCCTTTTTAATCACGAGACCTGGTAACGGAGAAGCTACCCTCGTCGTTGAAAGGCGTGCCCCACTTTTGTCATAAACGGTACCAAGAATTCCTCTGGCGTGTTGTGTCCGTCAGGCTCCACCGGAGCCGCTGACAAACACGAGCGGCGAATCGCGGTGGTTTTCTAAGTGCTCTGATTTCACGCTTCCCCCACCCCGCCCCTCCCTCCTCCCCGTCCACATGGAGTCCTCGCTCGGGGAGATGTGTTTGAACGAGCAGAGGCCGCCCGCCACTCTGCGCTCAAAACGCGATCCAAAACGCGATCGCTCATGTGACGTTGTTCCAGTCGTTGTTGTTGGGGGTGGGCGGTAGGGGAGCTAGGAGTGTGTGGCTACCGATTGTTTTGACTAAACGCAACACGTATTTTGCTCACTCCAACAACCAGAACTTATTTTTTTGCGAATTATGCAGTCAACCTCAATGGGAGGTCACTCCTTCTCTGCTGCTGCCTCCAGTCTCGGAAAACATTTTTCCCTTGCTGTCTGTGCTGCCGACTGCCTGCCTCTTTTTAAGTCCAGGCTGAAGGCCTTCTTCTTTGCATAAGAATTTATCTCATCTGTGAAGCATCTTCCATTCCACTTTAGCACACATATAGGAGGTTTTGTGATATCCAAGACCAAAGCACCCTGAATGTGCCATCATATGTCAAAAGCTAACCAGGGGTTGTTCCCGGTTCGTACTTGGATGGGAGACCGCCTGCATATTCCAGGTATCATAAGGGGGCAGGACGTGACAGTAAGGCAATGGAACCCAGGAAATGCACGTACATTCAAGGGAACAGCTGTTAACAATTCCCCCGTCACTGGTGTTATAAAGCGCATAATAGTTTATCAATGCGTCTGTTAAAATGTATTCCTATGTGCACGGCAACACGCTTTGCACCTTGCGTGTAAGTTGAGGTTAATTCCAACATGTGGAGATCACGCAAACCGTTCCTGTTTGACGAACGGGGCAACTCGACAAAGATCAAACCAGAAACGAGAACAACGCAACCCCGACTCGCGACGATTCATAACATCGTGAGGAAAGGTGAATACTTTACACGCTGTCCAGCCATTTGCTGGACAGTGTGCGTGAGAGTCTCTCACACACACACAAGATTGATTCCCACACCTCGGAGCTTGTGAAGTACGTGTATATCGGCCCCAACTGAACTTTCTTGGCCTCATTAGGCGAGCCAACGGGAGCAAAATCTGATTTCTGCGTTGCGGTCTTTTTCTTTTTGCGAGCACCCTTTATCTGATCCAGATGAGCTGCTTTGTTGAGGCAGACAGCAGCACCCATTGTGTTCGTCTGGATTGCGTTCTCCCTCCGGTCTCCCTAACCCAATTTAGCGAGCGTCCGGGCGAGGGTCCGGGCGAGTATCGAGCAAACGCCCCCCCCCCTCCCCCACTCGGTTTATTATTTTGTACAGCGATCACTGCCGCCGTGACCCCGGTGGTCCCGGGGCCTACAGTAAAAACAACAGCGAGCAGAAATGTACACGCTTAGGATCACACACTAGTGTTTGCCGGAGAGGCCGACTCTTGATCCGATGCTCGGAGGAGGGTTGGGGGGTAACACTTGTGTGTGTACAGCGTGCCTCTAAAGACCTTTTTGATGGCAAGGTTTTCATAGCAAAACCCTTTCATTCGCCCCTCTTCTCTTCTCTTCTCAAACCCTTGTTCACTTTTGACGAGCAAATGCTGCCCTTTAGTCTCCAACTCGAAAGAAGAAAGATGGGAGGAGGAGGAGGAATGAAAGAGGACAAAAAAAATCAGTCGTTGAACAATCCGAAACACACACACACATTCAACAAAAACCTTGAGCGTTTCCTGTAAGTGCTAATTACGATGGACAGCTGGCGCGGCGTGCTGACTGACGTGCTGTCGGACAGGAAAGAAACCAGGGTTGTGGAATAGTTCGAAAATACAATTCCTGGGAGCTGCCGGAGGTGATTGGCACAAGCGACACGCTGCTCACTCACAGCCAGATGGCTGCTCGTAGACTGCTCACTGGCTGCTCAAAAGCTGAAGTTCTCTTTTGTATGAACCCCACTGGGCTTTGAGTCTCGGAGCAACAGGAGTATAAACGTGTTTGCACGTCGTGATGAAACGAAATCGCCATGTTTCACACTGAGCCCTTTGTCAAAAGCTGGCCGGGGCGGTGTTTGGGGGCAAAGCGGCCGATTTTCAGTCGGAAGGTCGTGGGTTCAAATACAGGTCATGGGGCGGGGGGGGGGGGATCGACCCACCGCGCCATCATGTCTCTTAAAATAAC